ATCTGCAAATGAAAGTACAAGAAAAAAAATTGACACGCTTATTTTTAATGTATTCTTTGCCATCCATATGTAAAAATCCATTCCGTAGTGCTTGTAAAAGCCTCATTTTTACAAGAAAACGCATGAATTGAAATACAAGTTCGGAAACCTTTATTAGGAAAACCGTTTTCCAGTAAAAAAAACGCGTTGAAAAATATGCGTTCAGGCGCATTTGTAAAGAGATCATCTTTTCAGCGAAAGAAATAAAAAACGCATCAAGATACATAACAAATAAACGCGTCGTAACGAATACAATATAACATGTTCGAACGACATTTTTAGGTAGCATTTTAAATTGAAAAAACGCGTTGTAAATGTAAAAAATGCATTTAAACGCGTTTTAAACGAAAACCGATGCGTTTAGGTGCGTCTCAGACAAAATAAGATAGGTTTAAACGCAAAAACAGCGTTTTTTCTCTGAAAGTTTCCGTTGGAACGCGTTTTTATACAAATTTGTTTTTCATCGGTATAGTAATTATTATTTTATGTATTTAGTTTGATGCACAATAAATTGAGAAGAAAAGATAACTTTTGTATTCTTTATTCAAACACGTAAAAAAGTACACAGTCTAAAGAGAAGCTTACATTTTATTGAAATAGTCAAAAATCTTTGGAACAGTTATTTTACAAAAGTATAACATGGCAAAACTCTTTAATATTTAACCCTAGTAGTACTATCCGGGGTCATTTTTGACCCCCCCTCAAAAATTTAAAAATACACTAGAAATATTTTGTTTTTTCTCAGTTTTTAGAAGCAACTAGCATCCCTTACGAATAGATTGTACGTTGTTGAATTTAAAAAGGAATACATTTGTTTTCCATATCGTTACAATCTTTTGATTCAAGACGATGTCTTCAGTATGCAACAAATATATAACAAGAAAGGAAAAAAAGTAAAACTTGCAATATATAATTGAATGACTCATTCACTAATCTAAGTGGATATATATTTCCAATCCATTAAAAAACATTTTTTGAGTGGTTTCGACCTATCCAATTGCCATGATAGATGATTTATATCATTGTAGATCAAATGTATGACTTGCCTTTCTTTCTTGTTTTATTTTTTTCGAGTGATGAAGTCAAGATATCATATTGAAAGCTTGTAAAATCATGAGGAAGAAGATCATTTTTTTTATATTCAATGTTATATACTAATTTATTGTTTCAGCTGATGCCAGTTTATCCGGTGTTTCTTCATTTACTTGTGACTTCTAGATTGAAATTTTTTCTCAAATAATTTGTATTCAACTGTCCGCAATATTATAACAACGATTATGGACAATTCAATTGAAGATGAAAGTGACAGCGACTATTTTGACGACCCAGAGAGTGGTTCGGAAGCGGAAGATGGAGAAAGCCAAACATCAGAAGATAATGACGAAATTGATTTAGAAAATTTTAAATTAAATGATGATTCTACGTGGCAAAGTTCATATAGTTCCAGGTCTGGAATGACCTGGTCTTCAATTTCTCATCGTTCAACGAAAACAAATTCTTCAAATCATACTATTGAAAAAGCTGGACCTACGGAAATTACTGAAGATGTTTCATCCATTGAAGATGCATTTATTTGTTTTATGTCGGAAAAAATAATACAGAAAATTTTGATTTATTCAAACATGGAATATATTCGAAACATCGCTTCTAATGAAAAACCACAAGAAATAACAATGATGGAATTAAAAGCTTTTATCGGACTTTTATTACTTGCTGGTGTATTAGGAAAATTCAAAGACAGACCTAAAATGTTTATGGAGAAGAAGTCCATTAGAACCTCCAATATTCAAAGCCACTATGTTAAGAAGTCGTTTTCAAAAAATTATTTCCTGTTTAAGATTCGATGATAAAACAACAAGAGAAGAAAGAAAAAGAACAGATAAATTTACAGCAATTCGTGAAATCTGGTCCGATTTTCAAAATTATTTAAAAACATGTTACACACCAGGATCTTATGTTACCATTGATGAACAGTTGTTAGGATTTAGAGGAAAATGTCCTTTTCGTCAATTTATGCCGAAAAAACCTGATTAACACGGAATCAAATTCTGGTTATGTGCTGATGTAGAATCATATTATGTATTCAATGCATTTCCTTACATTGGACGACAACCAGATCAACAAAAACAAAAACATATAGGTACCAATGTAGTTTTAGAATTGCTTCAACCACTTTATGGTTCAAGCAGAAATGTTACAATTGATAATTTCTTTACAAGTGTTTCGTTAGCCAAAGAACTTCAAACGAAGAATCTGACTCTTATAGGAACACTACGAAATAATAAACCAGAAATACCTATGGAGTTTCAGCCGAATAAAAATCGCGAAGTTGGTTCTTCGCTTTTTGGTTTTCAAGATAATTTAACTTTAGTTTCATTTGTACCCAAACAAAATAAAGCTGTTTTATTGCTTTATTCGAAACATCATGATAATCAGGTGGATAATAAAACTGGAAAACCAATTATTATTTTGGATTATAATAAAACAAAGGGAACTGTCGACACTGCTGATCAAATGTGTCATAAATTTACGGTAAAAAGAGATTTTTTTTATATTTCTGCATTTTATTTTCTGCAGGTAAAAAGAGGTACAAAGCGGTGGCCGCTTTGTATCTTTTATGGGATGGTAGACATTGCTGATATAAATGCTCTGATCGTCTGAAAGGCGAAAAATCCTCAATGGAATCAAAACAAAAAAAAATATCAACGTCGATTATTCCTGGAAGAATTAGGACTAAGTTTAGTATCGCATCTGTTGAATTTTCGCTCAAAAACTTCGAAATTTTTGAAAACAGATATTCAAAATGCATTAGCTATTGTCGGTTATCCTGTGGTGAAGAAAAATCTATCAGAACGAAATGAAAATTCTACTCAATCAAAACGAAAACGGTGTTCTTTTTGTGAACATTCTATGGACAAGAAAACTTCAACTCAATGCTGTAGTTGTTCTGCGTTTGTTTGTACTGAGCATTCTGTTAAACGTATTTTTTGTATTACTTGTTCTAAATAAAGAATATCATTTTAATGATTTTTCTATCAGGTCGAAGATGAAAACAGCATACTTCAACAGGAGACTGATCCAAAAGTAAAAAAAGTTACTTTATGAAAACATATATTGTCAGTATAGTGTGTAAAAAAGGACGGTACTACTAGGGTTAATGATTATATTTATTCGTGTCAATTAAGAAAAAGCACCAACAATCTCAAAATGTCCGAAAATTGACTTAAACATATGCATCATATTACAGAATAACAAATTTTATTTTCATAAGAAAATTGAATTCAATGTGTAAAAAAGTCTTGATTTTTACTCACGAGGGAGGTACCCGAAGTGATTAATTGCTTTATAGCTGATACTTTGGGCACATAGTGGGAACATCTAGACTAGAATAATCCTAAAAGTATTTGGGCCCATGGCCCTTATGAGCTGAGATTTTGAATTTTCAAGTTTCAGCAGGTAAGTAGACTTTTGATGCTCTATTGCGGATATTTCGAAAATAAAAATGTTCTGTTAGTTAGAAATTTCATAAGCCCGCTGTTTCATCAGCAAATTACTGTGAGATTTTTAGATTTTATCTCATTTCTATAAGTCACAGCCGCTTTTGAGAATCTTAGAGCGAACTAATTAAAGTTTTATAGACATCATTTTTTACAGAATTAAAGCGTGACACTGAAAGACAGCAGACTTTTAATTACAGTGGGGGTCAGTTGAAATTCCCCCTTTTGTTTTTTTTTTGTTTTTGTTACTGTACTTTTATTTTTTAATCTACTATATATAGCGAGAAAGTCCGAAACGCGCTGCATCTTTTGGTGTATTTACCTTGAGCATCAAATACAGTTTGAAGCATAAAAAATGTATTAGAAGAAAAAGTGATATTTTTTTTACTACTGCGTACATCGACGTCTAGATTACAATGAAAGAATTAATAAAAACAACGTTAAGGTCTATCATAATGTTCATCAGTTCCATATACCAAGCCACACTTGCGATAAGCATTTTCAATTTCTTGTTTTGATAACGAATAGAAACTTTCTGAAAGTAGTAAAGGTGGTATATCAGTTGTAGATAATGGATGTCGATTTCGAATAACTTTTTTAAATGAGTGCCACAGTAGATTATCCAATGGTGATACATATTTTGCGGACGCTGTTGGCATATGTAGAATTTCTTTAACTGATTCACATTTACCAGCTCGTAATACTTCAATCATATCCACTTCATTATGAGCACGAGTTTGATCACAAATCAAATAAATATTGTCGATATGTAATCGATTGATTGCTGACGCTAATGTATCAGTAATCCATTGATTTATTACCGCTTGTCTGACACCTTTAATTCTCCGATAATTGCGATCTTCAGAGGTCAGTGTCCTACAAGCATTCGATTGAGATCCATTAATAGCACCAATAAAATCATATCGTTTGGCATATACTGAAGGTTGTGTAACTAGAATTAACGGTTGTTGACCAGAAGCAACAAGAGTTTTACGAGGAATCATAATAAAATAAACAGCTGTTTCATCAATAAATATTAATCGATCATTAGCAATTCGTTGTAATGAACTTCGAAATTGACCAATATTGTACCAAAAAATCTTATCAGCTAGAAACACATGGAAAAGACATGATTGAGGTAATTAAATTATTAACTGAATATATGCTAACCGTCCCGTAATGTTATTCCACGAGTTTTTTTCCATTTTATACCACTTTCTTTACCATATCGTCTGATTGTACGAATTGGTACCTCTCGTTTTAGTACAAATTTAATATGTGTTTGAACCATCTGATAATCAACATATACACGTTTATTATTCATTGATTTGACAAATTCTAAAATGTAATCTTTAACTTCTTGTTGTGTCATTATACGAGCTCGACCACGTTTTGACTCTTGATTCAATGAATTGACAGTACCATCCCATTGACGATACCAATTCATAAGTTTGTGGCCATCTTTGATTTTAAAACGTTTAGCTAATTATTTAAATCCATAACCAAAAATTCCAGGACGATATTCTTCAAGCACGTTGTGCTTGAATTGAGATGTGTATGTATTATATTTACGAGTCATAATAAACAGAGACAATAGATATTAAAATCGAAACGCACAATAAACAACAATTTAAAACATAACGAATTAAGAATTGATTTTGTAAATTAATTTCAGTCAGTCGGAATGTACATATGTGCATATATGAGAAGCACATGGAAGGGGAAAAAAGAGAGAAAAGAACATAGAATTCACATTATTACGTACGTATCAGTATGACATGGTAGATGATATGATTTCATTTGTAACTGAATAGGTTCAAACTTTACATCAACAAAAAACTGCTTAATCTTAGTCAGCATGTTTATTCGGATATTTTTATAAAAAGAGTACTGTCTAAATATAAGCTGTAAGTCATCAGCACTACGCGAATTAATATTTTTTGTCATAAAAGGAAACAGGCGGACAAAATTCATTTAATTCCTACTGCACATTGTAGTAAAAAAATGTCACTTTTTCTTCTAATACATTTTTGATACTTCAAACTGTATTTGATGCTCAAGGTAAATATACCAAAAGATGCAGCGCGTTTCGGGCTTTCTCGCTATATATAGTAGATTAAAAAATAAAAGAAGTACAGTAACAAGAACAAAAAAAAACAACAGGAGAATTTCAATTGCCCCCCCCCCCTCCCCCACTGTATGATAATGATAAGCTTCAAAGAAATGTTCAAAGCAGAGTTGCTTGCGACAATGACTACATTGAATAAAGCGTAAAGAGCGACAGTTCGACTGTTGGCAAACATCAGCATCAACATTGAAGCAAACTTCATTGAAAGACTTAAAATCTCCTGAATTCTGGCCGGTGTACCCTGATGCAAACCATGCATACTTGATCATAGGTATAAACTGAGACGGTGACAACTGATTCTGAATAAGAGAATTCAACTGTATTATATTGTTTCGTTTAGATAGGTTAACAGCGATATCGTCAAGTGGAACATGATCAAATATACGCCGAGCGAAGAACTTTCATTGTCTGTTGAAATAAATATAAAGTGATTGAATGCGTGGCGTTGTGTGCGCTGGTATTTCTAGTCTTTTGCATTCTTAAATAGTGGGGTATATCTTTGAATATCGTTGACTAGGCCAATAGTCCGAGATCAAAAGAGATTTCGATGGAGCAAATGGACGGAGAACGTGATCTCGCCAGTATTCGACCAATGAGGAAGTGAGCTTCTCTGAAAAACTGCATGTCACAACGACGTTCGAAGCAGCAAACAACTTCTTTTTAATGTCTAACAAAAAAGACGTTCTTACATTATACAAGAGAAAAGTAGTAAGTTAAGTCACTGTCGCTCATTTTTCCCATTGTTTCTTTTAAACAAAGGAAGACAGGACCGACAAGTTGACCAGCAAGGGATATCATCAATTGAATAGTGTAGGGATGTTTTGTGGCATTTTTTGATCTTGCGCGAGCTAAAGTAACATGTTCACCTTCATGCGAGAGGGTTCTAGTCGAGTGAAGCTCTAATTCGAGGCGAACCTGATCAGTATTGAGAATTTCTTCAGATTTCTAGTGACTGATTTTTCGTTTTACATCAGCTACAAAGGAGTCGGCAGACACATTGATAGCATCGGTATCATCCGCATGATGACGAGTCACTAGTTTCGTAATTTTTCTCGAACAAAGGCGATGACGATGTTTGAAGACTTGCAGCCAGTGTTTTGATGCTTCGAAGTCGAGAATCGACTCTTCAGCAGCTTTTTGAAGGACCCATCGCTTCAAATCGTGATCATGGATAGAGAGAACACGTTATCGAGCTTCTTCAAATTTGTCGTAGACGAAATCGTCTATTATCCACATTTTATCTCGTTTTGTACCATTTTGCTCAATGTAGTGACGAAAGCGAGCAGTAATCTGTTGGTAAAGGATGCTTTTGAATCGGTGCTTTGTGGATTTCCACGTATGTCTCTTTCTTCCGGTCGAGTCACGGGAATCATAGTAATCGATGACTTTTTTCATGTAGTCCAGAGTGAAGTTCATTGTAGTCGGTGGGCTTTCAACATCTTCGGTCTCATCAACATTTGGATCGATACTTTCATCTTCAGGATTGCTGAACACGTTGCCATCATCGTGATCGAGTGTTGTTTCTGATTCAACTTCAAATGAAATGCACTTCTGGACGTTTTCGATTACTTCCAGCAAAAAGCGTACGATTTCTTCTTCGAGTGAATTTGCTCTTGATCGCCGACGATTTGGTTCTTCAAGTTCAGTAACTCGATCCAATACAAGTTTTGTGATTCTTGCAGCATCACTCATATTTTTGTTACACAAATGCATAAAGAACGTCTTACTTGATGAAGAATGCTTCTCTCGATTAACAGTATCACATCAAAGCGCGTATCCCTTATATCGTATCATTCATTACCATCACTCTTAAAAGAACACAAAAGAATGCTTGTAGTATGCATCTACTGTTCGTCATTCGTGAACCACTACCTCTGTAATGATGGTTGATATTTTAGAAAAAAACGCCGTGACTTATAGAAATTAGATAAAATCTGAAAATTTCACAGTAATTTGCTCATGAAACAGCGGGTAAATCATGAAATTTCTAGCTAACAAAACATTTTTGTTTTCGAAACATCCGCAATGGAGGATCAAAATCCTTCTTACCTGCTGAAACTTGAAAATTCAGTATCTTAGCTCATAAGGGCCATAGGCCCAAATCCTTTTAGGATTATTCTAGTCTAGAGGTTCCCTCTATGTGCCCAAAGTATGGACTCTAAGGCGGTTAAACACTTCGGTTACCTCCCTCGTCAGTTTATATTTCGCTACGACATATTCCAAAAAGAAGGAAAGAAAAGAATAGTAAAGTAAGCTAATATACGATGCAACAGTTTTTAGTACACAATAAGAGAATAGGCAAATAACATCAAAGACATGCATTATATGATTGATTGTGTTTAAATCTTGCATTTCGCTACAATAGAAATATTTCAAAACCATATTTTACATAAAAGACATGCACTGATGAATTTTGAATTTTCAAATATTAAATACAACTTTAAATCTTTCAAATTGAGAGTACATTTATAAAGAAATGCAATAAAGTGTGTATTCATTAAAAGTTGTTGTTTTATCTTGCATCATACTAATTCATTTTGATAATGAATTACTACAAGTAAATATAGCCAGACAATCAAATGGAAAGCGAAACCATTACAATGTTCTAAAGGTTTCTGGTCTTTTTATCTTTTTTTCATTAGAACAAAAAATACGGTATTACTTTTTAATGAGACTTGAATAAGTCGGTATCTCTGAACTTGATATATAAGCCAAAACTGAGATTGTATGGCTATCATGTAGACGAAGTGCATGCTCCTAGCATACGTTTACTAAGCGGAATATCACATTTGTCTTTTCTCTATAATAGCTAGTAAATGTTTAATTATGTCATCTTACATTTATCTCGATGACATGCTTACCTTCGACAAAAACAATTGTTGCTGTTCCATTATGACAATAGTTTTAGTAATTATGAAAGAAAGATTTTTCAATACATTCAGTCCATATGAAAGTTCAATCGGTGGGCCGTGGAAAGGCCGAAAGGAAAAATGTCGAAAGAAAAATATCGAAAGGGAAAAATATCGAAAACAGAAAAAAGCTGCATCTCTAGTGAATGAAGATTCTAATAATTCACTGTTCATTGTTGCTGATCTGATTATCCTATTGGTTTGACACTGTTAACCATTGATACTATTGATAAGTAATATCTTATAGAAACTAGCTAAAATAGGCGTAAAAATAGTATACAACGATTAAAATTCTATCATAATGACTACAGCATGCTCATTTTTATCTGATGAGAATCATCCACCATCTCCAATTATTTCATTTATTCAGTCGTAGAAAGGAGAATCTTTGCTTGTATCAGATGAATATATTTTCAAATTGAATAAATCAACAACAACTAGTAAATATTGGATATGTACACATATTGCATGTTCCGCAAAAATTCATACAAATACAAATAATCAATTAACTAAAATGATTGATGAACATAGCCACGTTCCCGAAAAAGAAATAATAGATGTACGTGAATTTTGTGAATAAATTAAACAACGAGCAATACAGGAGACAACCCCTATTCCCCGCATTTATGATGAAGAATGTGCTAAGGCGATGTTGTCAACTGCAGCAATAGCTGTATTACCCAGTGAACGTGAAACAAGCAAACAATTATTATCTTTATGTCTTTTATATTAGTAGTAATTTTTTGTTAATTGTAAGATAGTGCCATTAACAAAGCACGTCGTGCTGTCACACCAATCATTCCAACAACACAACTATTTGATATTCCAGATCCTTTCGGAAGAACACTGAGAGACAATTCGTTTTTGATCATTGACAAGTTGATTACGAGGCGACAGAGAATGTTTTTTTTTTGCTTCAGATGAACAATTGAAAATGCTATTTTCAAGCAGAAACTATTCTTATGGATGGAACGTTTTCGTCTTGTCCAAAAATATTCAATCAGATTTGTACAATACATAGTATTAAATATGAACAATGTCAGTAATTAGTTTTTTCGCAGCTGCCTATATAAGTACGATTCTTTATCTTTTTATCATTTCCTTGTGTTTGTGGCTTATTGCCAAACAGATTAAAACTTGCATATAATTTTTTATTTCATAAATTGAAATTTATAGCGGTTCAAATGAAACTTGATTTTGCACCGAAAATCATCATGAGCGATTTTGAGTCAGCTCTTATGGATGTAGTTAAAACTGAGGTAAATAATTTACATTTATTGTGGTGGAGAGATATGTTAGGAATTTTTTTAAATTTTAGTTTATTGCAGCAAGTCATTCCTCTTGCTATTTCCACTTTACTCAAGCTATATACCGTAATATACAACCACTTGGACTATATACAATATATAACAATGATGATGATGATGTTAAACATTTTTGGAGACAGCTAATGGCTCTTCCATCATTACCTGAACCTGTTATTGAAGACACTTATGATGAATTAGTACGAGATTTATCAACTAATATGAGCAAAACAATGAAGCATTTACTAGAATATTTTCAAGAACAATGGTTCGTCAAGGTTCCTGTATCTCAGTGGTGTGCTCATGGTTTGTCAATCAGAACGAACAACAACGCCGAAGGTACACATTTCTTTCCATTTCCCTTGAAAATTCATACTATCATATTCTTTTTTGCATTTCACACTCGTTTTAATCGTCAAGTTCTAGTTCATTATCCAAATATCTGATGTTTCATAAAATTTTTTCAAAGTGAAGAGAGCCGTTTTTACCATATGAATATTCAGTTTTCTGCCCGCTTAGGTGCACGGGCGAAACAAGTTACAACAATCTCAATTCAACGTCGTATATATTGTCTGGATAAATAATATTATGATGATCTTATTAATGTAATGGAATATTTAAATGGTTTGTCATTTACAGTTGCTAAACAGAAAAAATGACGTTTTATAATTATTTTTTTATAACTCTTATCTATCATCTATGCTATGATTTTACTATGTTTACAACAATAAAGAACGTCTTGTTAGTTAAAATTTTCCATATTTTTTCCTTGCAATATTTTTCCTGTCGACATTTTTCCTTTCAGCCTTTCTACGGCACACCGCTCAATCGAGGATGTTACTCAGTAGACCACTTTGTAGGTTTTTAATAATATTTCTATTTTTGCATTCATATCTGTTGAAATAAATGATTTATGAAACCAAGGAAAGAATTCATCGAATTATAGACATACATCATTATTTATTTATCTATAATATTAGTGAGAATAAAATAGTTTTGGTTTTATTTTAACCTAACATCAAGTCATGAAATGACGATATCATAATGGGATTTATTTGTAAAGCAGATCGAGCTATCAATTATTGTTCCATACATAAATTAAAATTTCATAATGAAACAAGATGTATTTCATGTTTCTTCAAGAAGAGAACCTTTTCAACGTTCTCTTTTGTACAATGAGGAATCATCTACTTTTGCATGCAAAGCTTAGTCAATGTCTTCCTTAATTTAGTTGTTCAATACAATCGTGAAATTCGATTATCATAAAAAAAATTGTGGCCTAAAAAATGTCATGTGTTTTATTTAGAAAAAGATTCCTAGGGCTGTCTTAATTTCCATATTGTCATTTGGCTTTTGAATTTCATTTTGCTAGGAACTTTTGCATCCTATTTTATTTTGCAAAACAACAAACTGTTGAGCAGCAAAGGAGCCTGTTGTTGTTTCCATTGCTGTGCCTAACATTTCAACGATATGAAAATTTCGATATAAAAGTGGTAAACGAATAGGTCCATATAGACGATGTAAATTGAATTGAATTAAATCTTGAACGTTAAGTGGTACACCCAAAAATAGAAATCCACCAGGTTTAAGAATACATGTTATTTTTATCATTGTCTGAAAATCACCATATGGATTCAATGGATCTCGATATCGACCAAGACCATCATGTTCAATACTACTATATGACCATACACTATCAAATAATTGTCGTTGACGTTTACTATTCTGCTGTTGTTTTGCAAAATCCATTGGCGTTATCGTAAATAGACGAGGAATATTCGAATGAATAGTTGCATATTCAATCGTTGTAACACTGGATGCATTATATTCAAGTAGTGCTGCTTCAATCCATGGATTTTCAGTTCCAATAACAGCACATTCCTTATTGGTAATGGCTAATGATGCATATTTATCTAGTGCAGGATATATATCTTTGTTACTGTATGAACCATAAGCTTCTCTTGCTCGTACTTGTTTACGATAGTTCTCAATAACATCGATTGTCCAGTGCACTGGCAAAGTATCATCTGCACGAAAGTTTTGAGACTCATAAGCTACTGGTGTTGTATAGTTTAGTGTAAAATTAGATAAAAGATCATCAGGTATTTGTTTGATATGTTGAAGTGTTAGTGGCAGACTGTCTTTAAGCCATGCGTTATAATTTGGACATTGATCAGGATCAGGAGTACAATAAATATTATATTTGATAAAGTCAGGATTAGTCTTACGTGGAAGAAAAGAACATGAAACAAGTTCGTTATCGTGAATCTTAGTCCAAGGACAGTGGCCGGCACAAACATAAATATTTTGAGTTTGTTTGCATGTTGGATCAATAAAACCGTTAATAGTGAGCAATCGAGCATATTCATATAAATCGATAGCAGATAATTGTTGTTGTGAACGAGGTACTCTAGGGTTTCGATGTTTTGTAAGCAATAGAGTGGTAACCGTTGTTAAAACAATAAATACTGTGAGAAAATTTCTGCATACCTTATTCATTATTACATATATGTGAAACCTGAAACTTGAATTCAACTAATGAGCAATTCAATAATTGAAGCCAGATTATTTAACTACTCAATCATGCAAAATATTTGAAGCAAAGATATTCAACTATTGAAGTATTGAATAATTGAAGCGAAGATATCTAACTATTTAATCATGCAAATAATTGAGGTAAAGGTATTCAACTATTCAACTATTCAAGTATTCAATAATTAAAGATATTCAATGATTCGAATAATTGAAGTAAAGGTATTCATTTATTCAAGTATTGAATAGTTGAGATAAAAATATTCAACTATTCAATTGCTGCGCTAGGAAAGAACAAACCCAAAAGGCAATACACGCGGTATCGAAGCTGATGTTAGTGCCGTAAAAACCTACACTGTAAAAAATAGGCGTAAAATAATAAACCCTTTCATATACCCTGTTAGTTCATAAACCCTAGGAAAGGTATTTTATACGTTGCACTTTCATAAACCCTTTAGGGTATATGAGCAGTGATATATCCTTAAAAGGTTTATTAACTTCATAAACCCTTCGGATGTGGGTTTATTAATGTACACTTTAGAAGAAGCCGTAGAATAAAAAACACTGTTCGGAAGGGTTTACGAAGTTAATAAAACTTTTAAGGGTATATTGCTGATCATATAGCCTTTCTAGGGTTTATACACTAAAAGGGTATATGAAAGGGTTTATGAAATTCATAAATCCCTTTGAAGGGTTTATTATTCTACACCAATTTTTACAATGTATATGATGACACATTTGAATTGCTAGTAAATTCATTTTAATTTCCGAAAGATGCTTCTACTTTCTTTCGATGAAAATGCAGTAGGAATACGAGGTATAAAAGGTAATGGAGGCATGGAAGTCAATGAAATCTAATGATTTTCCCAGAAATTAAGTGACTTCTCGGACATCAAATAAATTTTTGTAATTTTTAAGGACAATATCCTCATAATAAATGAAAAGATAATCGCGGTTTGGTATAACATTATTCAAAATTTTGTATAATACAAAACATTATTAGTCGATGTTTCGATGATCTATGTCGTCATTATCAAGATTTATTAAGATCTTAGAAAATTGTACATTTAGCAAAGAAAGAGAACAAAAAGAGAAACGAAAAACGAAGATATAATACCAAACGACTTTAAGTTTCATTAATGAGCAGGACTAGGTAACAGAACTCTCGGTAGACCATCGGGAAAAACAAATAATGGTACCGAATATGTTGTTTTATTGAGTTCTGCTTCATAAGCCTTGATCAATAATGATTCTTTAATTAACAAACGATAATAATGATTGTCTTGTCGTATTACTTGAAAAATACTTCAGTCCATAAGATGACCTGTTTCTTTTTCATGTTGAATAATTGATGATTTGACAACTTGATTCTTGGTGTTGTCGTCATCTGTTGTAGCTGATGCTGTTGTTGCTGTTGCTATTTTGTTTCTTATCCGTGATGATCTTCTTAATTCTTGGATGTTATTGTTGAAAAGTTGTTTTAGGTGTACCATGTTCATGTACTCTTCGTATACATTGACGTTCCGTCTTAACAATATACGAATTTTCACAGTCACTACGTTTAATACTTAAGGCATTCCAAAACTAGTGGCAATGACACTTTAATACTGTATAGTAAGCTTGAAGAAATTTTCTTTTTGTATGTGGTGATAGAGAAAACGGTGCTCTATTTTTCTATGCAATTTGATCCCTCTTCAACTAATACCATAATCATAAAGTTTCGATAAGAACTGTTTTTGTGTAAAACTTTACTAGCGGATGAGGCAAATTAATGGCTATGTTTTGCATTTCAATTTTCAATCACTTAATACATTGTATTAAAAACAAAATATACCACAAGATACAGCGTGAAAAGATCTACAATTTATAAAGAATAGTTTATTTCATATATGGAATAAGAAAAAAGGAATTTCTTTGCGTATAGAAAAAAATGATTTTTTCGGGGCAATGAACATGGTCGCACAGAATTTTGCGTTTTTTTGAAGACAAGAAGTACACAACTAAAATGACCTTTGCTTTGGAGATTGTAGAGCTTTTCACGCTGCATATTGTGGCATATCTTGGTTTTTAATACAACGCATTAAGTAATTGAAACATCTAATCTGTCTCACCCGCTAGTGAAGTTTTACACAGAAACAGTTCTTATCGAAATTTTATTATTATGATCTTAGTTGAAGAGGGATCAAATAGCACAGAAAAATATAGCATCGTTTTCTCTATCATCACATAAAAAAAGAACATTTCTTCAAGCTTACTATACAGTATTAAAGTGTCATTGCCACTACTTTTGGAATGTCCTAAGTATAATATGCTACATCCGACTTCATATGTTTAACAGTTGGATCTTTGATTTGGAAGAATGCTTGTGGCGATAGTGGTGGTTTGGCAAAGAACTGAATGTCGAGATCAGGCCGTAGTTGATTAGATAGATGCATAATTTTCTTCTTCAATTCTAAAGTTGAAGATCTAATAAACGGTGATTCGACATACATTTTCTTCTTATCACATCCAATTACGGTTAATTTTCATTCTCCATTCATCTTTCGACGATATTGACTTAACTTAATGGAAATAAGATTTTCAATAAAAGATAGTGGATAATCATTTTTTTAAACCAATTCTTCTTATGTCATTAAATTCAGCTCATAATAGTGTATACGTTGAACATATAATGAGTGCACAATTAACCGTACTAACAATACTGGCTTTCTTATATTGAATGAAAACATAAGAATTCCAATTTGTTAATAGTCCAGTGAATGTTGGTTTACGATAAATTGTAGTCTTGAAGGATTATTGTTCAGGTGATCGAAAACCTCGCACATCGAGGAATTCCAATTTATTGTTACTTTTCAATTTATGGGTAAACTTGATGGATGAATAGATGGAAATTATTTAGAATGGATAATATGTTATCTACATCTGTAGTTGAGTGAAGAAGCACAAATGTATCATCTACATAACGATGTCATTCACATGTACCTCTAGTATGAGATTATATTATGAATTTGTTAATCCTCTCCCCCCCCCCCTTCAGAAAATACATTTTTTAGTAAAATAATCGTCGTCGAGTTTTTATTATAGGAAGATGCAGCGAAGTTTCCTCTTTCAGAATATATATAGATTTTTAAAAAAAGGTCAAATTTTGACAGACTTTCGTAGGAGATTTTCACCTCAATACCCAGTTTTCCGGGGAATTTTCGCGGTTTTCTTATTTTTTGGAAGACTACTTTTTTACTTCTATCAGCATGGAATAAACATTCTTATATCATATCGTACGACCTTTGGTGCTAGCTTACGCCATCTATTGCGTGCTTTCAAAAATTCCACATAAATATTATCAATATACCTTTATTTCATGCATTTGACTGAAAAACTCCATTTCTAAAACTTCTTTAGCGTTTTTCTCGAAGCAAGATTCACAGACAGGAAAATTGAAATAACTTCCGCTTGGCTCGGGGTTGCCCCTGATGCGTTTTTTTATTTTAAAGGTTTTCACAAGAGCTAACTTTTGATCGGACGGATTTTTGATACTTAACTGTTGGACTAAGAAAAGTTGGATTTACTGTCGTCCGTTGACCATTTTTAGGCCTACTTTGAAAGTTATGTCCACTGAAATGCTTATAAAAAATGAGTAAGAGGGAATTTAAAAATTCTGTCCGATGAAAAGTTGCGCACAGAGGCTAGCTTAAATTTGAAACTAACCCGACCTCGATACGTCTTATAACCATGAAGTTATTTCGATTCTTGTGGAAGCTATAAAACAAGCCGAAAGTCCAGTTTAGCAAAGTATATAAGGCTGAAATTTTTACCGTAAGAGTTTCTCACTAGTACCACTCATTCCTGAAAGTTTCAGCCCAAAATAACCGTTCTAAGTGGCAAGTCAATTCTGAGGGGAGGGAGCCTTAAGGTGCATTTAAAATTGTACAAAATTCGTAATGATTTAATTTTTGTAAGAATATGTAAAAGAGAACGCCTAATATCAACATTTCGACGTGTTCGTCTAGCCAATACATATCTTCGAAAAACAAAAATCATTCAACAATGTGCACAGATTATACTACAAGGTGAATTAAAATATAAATGGCGATTGTTGACACAAATCTATCGTCATTCATCAAGATTATTAAATATGTTAAAAGATAGCGTACCACATATTATATTCAATCGTTTAATATCTATGGTTGATGAAATTATTTCAAAAGAAATGAAAAAGATTAAAAAAACGGCACGATCATAAAATAGCTAAATTACGTTATTACAATGTTGAAAATGCTATGAAACAATCTAGTCGTAATTCAATTAATATTTCATCACTTACAATGGTTAATAATGATAGTGTACAAGAAAATGATCTGAAAACAATTACAAATCCAGCTCAACGGAAATTAACAATGGATGAAGAAAATACACTTAAACATGGTCTCCATCATGTATTTCCAACAAGTAAATTCGATAATTCTAGATGTGTTTGTAACATGAAATATGTATATGCAAAATTAATTAATTTACGTACTGATTATCGTCATTACAAACGAAAAAATCCCAAGCAACAAATCAAACATAAACAAACATCAGTTCAATTAAAAGCTGCTGGGCAATTAGGTTCATTAGCTAATTCATTTCGAAAGAAAGCAGAATAGAAATGACAATAAATAATCATCACTACAAACAAATCAAACCAGCACTCAGATCATTAGCCAAGGATGCGACAATTATTATCACCAAACCAGACAAAGGATGGGCTGTTGTTGTAATGGATAATGGTGGTTACATCATCGAACAAACTTCTCAACCGATAATAAAGCTAGAAAAGCACTTCGAAAAAATTTAAAAGATTTCTCAGCAGATCTGACCGTAGTTTGAATAAAATACAGTAGTACCAATACACGATGAAACCGCGAAACCTTCCGTTGCATCGCCACCGTTCGGTCCCTCCCCGCCGCGGAGCGGGGTGAGGCGGCGTGACATCGTGCTCCGCTCATCTCTGTTAACAATTCCCACGTAAAAATAACTCAAGAAAAAACGGAATTTTAATCGATTTTTTTGTGATTAAAAATCGATTAAAATGAGACGATTTTAATCAGATTTTAATCAGATTCCTTGATCTTTAATCAGTTTTAATCGCGTTAACGAAACACTGCGTTTTTCTCGAGTTTTATCCCAGAAATCATAGCTTTTTATTGCTTTTTCTGACTTCTCGCGTCGACAAATAGTAGGTACAACATCGCACCAATCTCGGTCAGGCATCGCTGAATTCGCGAGATGACAACGATCTGTACTTACGCATTCTTTGGTTATCGTGATTAAAAAGGATTAAAAATTAAATAATCAATTAAAATTCATTAAAACAAGAATAATCAATTATAATCGATTAAAACTGATTAAAATCAAAAATAATC